ATACATGTATTCAAAATGGCTGATTTTGAATGCTGTTCCAGAGCAATATCTCTCAATGTGGACTTGTTTGACGAGCAGATACAAATATCAATCATTTTCATGTTAAAAAAAATCATATTCCTGACATGGTTATATTATAGCTAAAAGTCTGGTCTGATGTTATCATACCATAACCTGTCTACAGCAAATAACCACCTAATGCGCAATTGTCAATTTAATGCAGATATGTTACAAATACTTTCTCTAAATATATTTGGTCCTTTTTTCAGACTTTAGGAAAGATAGGACGTGTCCAGCAAATATATCATGATTTAGATTTGAAAGTTGAAGTATGTGGGACATCATGGACTTACAATCCGGCTGCTGTTACCAAGGTTGCTTCAGATGGCACGGCAGTGGGAAGTTCATCAGGTATACACTATAGTTACTCTATTAGAAACACATCTGAAATAGAAGAACATGTAAACCAACAGTTGTACTGTATTTGTCCTATTAGAAGTGCATCTCCAATAGAAGAACATGAAAACCAACAGTTGTACTGTATTTGTCCTATTAGAAGTGCATCTCCAATACAAGTGCATGTAAACCAACAGTTGTACTGTATTTGGTCTGTTAGAAGTGCATCTCCAATAGAATTGCATGTAAACCAACAGTTGTACTGTATTTGTTCTATTAGAAGTGCATCTCCAATAGAAGTGCATGTAAACCAACAGTTGTACTGTATTTGGTCTATTAGAAGGGCATCTCCAATAGAAGTGCATGTAAACCAACAGTTGTACTGTATTTGGTCTATTAGAAGTGCATCTCCAATAGAATTGCATGTAAACCAACAGTTGTACTGTATTTGTTCTATTAGAAGTGCATCTCCAATAGAAGTGCATGTAAACCAACAGTTGTACTGTATTTGCACTATTAGAAGTGCATCTCTAATAAAACATGTAAACCAACAGTTGTACTGTATTTGCTCTATTAGAAGTGCATCTCCAATAAAACATGTAAACCAACAGTGTATTTGCATTTATTGTATGCTGAATCATTAAAATATGATTTATCTCAATCGTAGACATACTTTTTACATGAGTACATGTGCTACTAATAGAGTAAATATTGTTATTGGAAATCAAGGACAATAGTATGTAGCCTGATATGTGACATTTATGGGGGTCATTTACAAGACTGATGAAATCATAAGACTGTTAGAATTTGGTTTTGCTAAACAAAATAAAAAAAAAATTAATGATTTTTTTCTTCTTTCAACAGAGCGTCTATCTGCCCTACTGAAAAAATTATTTGAAACACATGTATCTGGGGATGTTAATGAAGAGCTCGTGAAAACGGCTGCAAATGGTGACAGTGTCAAGATAGAGGAGATTTTGAAACGAACCGAGGCTGATGTAAGTGTTATGATTATTAATTTTGTATTCTACACTCATGCAAATTAATTACAGTAGCATGGTTATTGCGACTTACCCATTATGTGTACAGAGGGGTTTAACACCGAAAGAGGGATTTACCCGTAACCAGCTTTAATAGAGAGCCACATTCACAGCCTCTAAATTTCTCTCCTGGATCAATCTGGAATACCAAATATTTTATAATCTTTGTATCTACATTATTATTATACATCTGTCATCATATGTGTTGTTTAATTCTACTGTCTTCATACAAACTTTGCAGTATCCTCATAATAACGTTGTATTATTCTATATGTAGGTGAATGGTATGTTTGCTGGTCACACTGCTTTACAAGCAGCCAGTCAAAATGGACACATAGACGTAGTCAAACTGCTCATCCGACACTTTGTTGATCTGGAAACAGAGGTAATTTATTTAGGGAATAAAGGATGATTTCCTTTATTGTGTGATAACAGGGCAAGAATGGGATTAATATTTGAAAATTCAGTAAATATTTATCACAATTTGTGAATATTTATATAATATATACTTCACTTAATAGTCACAGGTCTCCAGTAAAGTTTTAGGATTGATCTAAGAATGCAGTTTTAGTGTACCAGTTTGAACCTCTTCACATGTTTTGACTAGACGCAAGACAATCCTTATTTTATTGAGGTGTGTTTTTGGGTTTGTGTAATCTGAACAGCATAGTATACATCTTTCCTATAGGCTGTCACAGGGTGACATTATCTGTGGCATTACTGCCAACCAGCATGTGAATGTCTGATATTTGCTGGGATACGCATACAAAACGTAAACTAATGTGATGTCCTATAAGTCGTTCTCTTCCAGTGATGAAGCACTTCTTTGATGTGTGACATGAATGCCATTCAAAAACTTCGTACTATTTTGATCTGTAGTAACCCATCAATGCAAATTATATTTTTAAGGAATTTTACTATATTTTAGATGAACAATTACACAACCAAACACAGTTGTCAATTTGAAAGGCCTTGCTTTCACCCATCAATGTCATTTTGACATCACGAAAGGGCTCCATCACGAAAGGGCTCCATCACTAGAGGGCGCAATAGGAATGGTTTATTTCTTGGTTAATTTGGTATGTTAGTCACAAATCCTGATAAGATTAACAAATTTTTAAAAAATCTGAAAAATGTTTTGCGGCATTATTTTTTGAAAGGCGACAAAAGTTGGCTTTGGCTCTCAAAGCATTTAATAATAAAATACCGATATTGTGTTTGTCATATTTCAGTAAATCCTGCTAAAAATAGAACTGACGTAGAATATGCTACAATTTCACCACCAATTCCTCACTTGTAATTTATTTTGAATAACAAGAAAGTTTATTATTAGTCCTTGCTAAATTATTTCAGTGCCACGTCAGTCGTTTTTGACTCCCATGTGCGAAGCACAAAATGGGAGTCTTTGCAGTTAGTGTGTCTGTGTGTGTGTGTGTGCATGTGTATGTGTGTGTGTATGTGTGTCCGACTGTTCCACTGCTATCTCAAGAACCATACATCGGTTTTTAATGAAACTTGGTGCATAGATGCTCTGAACATATGCGCAGATTTGATTAGTTTTTAGTGAAAATTCATGCATATTAATTACCTAATTTGCATGATAATTAGCTGATTTTTAGCTGTTCCATGATTGTTCCACTGATATCTAAACAACCACTCATTGGATTTTGATGAAACTTGGTACATACATGCTCTGAACATATGCGCAGATTTAATTAGTTTTTGGTAAAAATCCGTGCATATTAATTACCTAATTTGCATGATAATTAGCTGATTTTTAGCTGTTCTATGACTGTTCCACTTATATCTAAAGAACCACTCATTGGATTTTGATGAAACTTGGTACATAGATGCTCTGAACATATGCGCAGATTTGATTAGTTTTTAGTAAAAATCCATGCATATTAATTACCTAATTTGCATGATAATTAGCTGATTTTTAGCTGTTCCATGATTGTTCCACTGATAT